AGCTTTGTCATTAGCACTGGACTGACCAGGGGCTAACGTCACCACAGAGTTAGCTTTGTCATTAGCACTGGACTGACCGGGGGCTAACGTCACCACAGAGTTAGCTTTGTCATTAGCACTGGACTGACCAGGGGCTAACGTCACCACAGAGTTAGCTTTGTCATTAGCACTGGACTGACCGGGGGCTAACGTCACCACAGAGTTAGCTTTGTCATTAGCACTGGACTGACCAGGGGCTAACGTCACCACAGAGTTAGCTTTGTTATTAGCACTGGACTGACCAGGGGCTAACATCACCACAGAGTTAGCTTTGTCATTAGCACTGGACTGACCAGGGGCTAACGTCACCACAGAGTTAGCTTTGTTATTAGCACTGGACTGACCAGGGGCTAACGTCACCACAGAGTTAGCTTTGTTATTAGCACTGGACTGACCAGGGGCTAACGTCACCACAGAGTTAGCTTTGTTATTAGCACTGGACTGACCGGGGGCTAACGTCACCACAGAGTTAGCTTTGTTATTAGCACTGGACTGACCGGGGGCTAACGTCACCACAGAGTTAGCTTTGTTATTAGCACTGGACTGACCAGGGGCTAACGTCACCACAGAGTTAGCTTTGTTATTAGCACTGGACTGACCAGGGGCTAACGTCACCACAGAGTTAGCTTTGTTATTAGCACTGGACTGACCGGGGGCTAACGTCACCACAGAGTTAGCTTTGTCATTAGCACTGGACTGACCAGGGGCTAACGTCACCACAGAGTTAGCTTTGTTATTAGCACTGGACTGACCGGGGGCTAACGTCACCACAGAGTTAGCTTTGTTATTAGCACTGGACTGACCGGGGGCTAACGTCACCACAGAGTTAGCTTTGTTATTAGCACTGGACTGACCAGGGGCTAACGTCACCACAGAGTTAGCTTTGTTATTAGCACTGGACTGACCGGGGGCTAACGTCACCACAGAGTTAGCTTTGTTATTAGCACTGGACTGACCAGGGGCTAACGTCACCACAGAGTTAGCTTTGTCATTAGCACTGGACTGACCGGGGGCTAACGTCACCACAGAGTTAGCTTTGTTATTAGCACTGGACTGACCGGGGGCTAACGTCACCACAGAGTTAGCTTTGTTATTAGCACTGGACTGACCAGGGGCTAACATCACCACAGAGTTAGCTTTGTTATTAGCACTGGACTGACCAGGGGCTAACGTCACCACAGAGTTAGCTTTGTCATTAGCACTGGACTGACCGGGGGCTAACGTCACCACAGAGTTAGCTTTGTTATTAGCACTGGACTGACCAGGGGCTAACGTCACCACAGAGTTAGCTTTGTTATTAGCACTGGACTGACCGGGGGCTAACGTCACCACAGAGTTAGCTTTGTCATTAGCACTGGACTGACCAGGGGCTAACGTCACCACAGAGTTAGCTTTGTCATTAGCACTGGACTGACCAGGGGCTAACGTCACCACAGAGTTAGCTTTGTCATTAGCACTGGACTGACCGGGGGCTAACGTCACCACAGAGTTAGCTTTGTTATTAGCACTGGACTGACCGGGGGCTAACGTCACCACAGAGTTAGCTTTGTCATTAGCACTGGACTGACCAGGGGCTAACGTCACCACAGAGTTAGCTTTGTTATTAGCACTGGACTGACCAGGGGCTAACGTCACCACAGAGTTAGCTTTGTCATTAGCACTGGACTGACCAGGGGCTAACGTCACCACAGAGTTAGCTTTGTTATTAGCACTGGACTGACCAGGGGCTAACGTCACCACAGAGTTAGCTTTGTTATTCTTGGGTTTCATACGACGTCAGGGCAGTGAATAACAAACGTGGGACAGGACATGACGTGTCCTGGCGGTGCAGTCTGCCGGGTTAATACACGGAGATACAGTAGGTCCCATTTCATTTTGTCGTCTTCACTCACGCTTCTCGGGAATCACGCAGCTGCGTGAAAAATATTACATCTTATCGCCACAAGGTGGCAGGTTAAGTCCGCTTTAGCTCTGCCAGCGACTTAGACGCTCAGGTATCATACTGCGTGCAAACCTGTCTAGCCCAGAGATGCTATCTTGGCCGAATGGTTACATTTAAGACTGGGACCTGGAGAACCCAGGTTCGATTCTTGTCTGAGGCAATTTTGGTTGCACATCTTTTGGTTGCTTGTGTGCAATTACGTAACGTTATCAGATTGTTATCTTCTTTCCTTGTCAAAAGGAAATGTGTAAAATTGGCTGTGTGTTCAAGCCGTGCATGTGAATATATATGTGTGTTTAAAGTTTCAAAGTAAGAGCATAACAGACAACATATACATATTTTGTACTAATGTTAATCTTTATAATTAAATTGCATTAACGTATATATGTGATGCGATCTGGGGAAACCCGTCGGATGTCACGCTGGCACGTTCCGAGTAAACAGTAAAAATAGGTCGATTGTCATTTTTTTGGCAAAATTGTTTTTTCATTAAACAATTATTATATAACATCTTGTCTT